AATTATCTATCTCGTGATAGAATTTTAGAAGACAAACAATTTATTCATTGCATTTTTTTCAACAACATAAATGGTAACTATACACATGGACCTCACCAGATGGAATACATAGGAATCAAACTGACTACATCTGTTGAAAGAGGCAACGGAGAAGCTCAATATCATCAGTCAAAACAAGGACAGGAGCTGACTGTGGAATAGACCATCAATGGCCCATATGCAAGTTCAAGTTGAAGCTGAAGAAAATTAAAACAAATCTATGAGAGCCTCTGGTGGTTATGTTTGTGTGTTAACTTGGCTGGGCCTGGTTGAATGGTGAGGCAGGTGGTGGTAGTTATTCCCTATGATGAACTGGCAATCAAGTCCATGGTAGGATCTACCACAAGCAGCTGAGTAGCTGCCTTAGAGAATGTGGTCTGCTTCCTGTATATAAGCAGAAGCCTTGGGGAATGGTCTCTGATTTATGGCATGCTTGGACCGTGCATGTAGTAGTTCAGCAGCCTGCCATGCTCTGCCGACCTTGGGACTTCCAATGGACTTGAATTAATGGCCTGCCATGTGGTTTGGTAACATTGGGACTGTGCCATTTTATTTGTTGACTTTGGGCTTATTAGCGTCAGCAGCCAGTAGCTAGATGCCTGAGTGAAGAGATGCCTCTAGCTTCAGTGGGCCAGGAGCAAGAGGCAGAGCTGAAGCCCAAGGTCGAGGTGCTTTCACACAGCCCCTAGAGCCTGGCACTTTGAACTTGGACTTAAAGCCTCCGAACTACGAGAGAATAAACTCCTGTTTGTTAAGGCCATCCCATTTGTGGTATATTCTTGTCAGAGTGGCACTAGGGAACCAGAACAGAGTCAAAATATGACTTTGCATATATCTCACCTGAATTAGGGACCATCTAAAGAATATATTTGATGCACTGAACACCAGTGACTGAAGACTAGACAAGTTGTGGTATGACATCAAGATTATCACACATGAAGAAAGCAAAATGTCATTAAAAATATAGGAAAGGAAGAAAAGACCAAAATAGATGTCAGAAGAGTCTCTGAAACTTGCTTTTGAATGGAGTGTAGCTGAAGCAAAAAGAAGAAATATTGGAATAAAAGAGCTGAACAGATGAAATGTGCAAAGACCTGGAGTTAGAAAACCAAAAGAGAAGAATCGGCTTGGCATTTCTCAAGCTTAAAGAACCAAAGAAAAAATTCAAGCCTTGAGTTGAAGTATTCTATGGGCAAAATATTGGAGAATGCAGGAAGCGTCAAAAGAAGATGGAAGAAATACAGAGTCACTATACCAAAAAGAATCTGTCAACGTTCAACCATTTCAGGAGGTAATATATCAAGAACCAACGGTATTAAAGGAAGAAGTCGAAGTTGCACTGAAAGAATTGGTGAAAAACAAGGCTCCAGGAATTGACAGAATACCCACTGAGATGTTTCAACAAAGAGACAGCGACTCTGGAAGTGCTTACTTGTCCAAGCCGGGAAATTTGGACAAGTATCTGTCCAACCGATTAGAAAAGATCCATATCTGTGCCCATTCCAAAGAAAGGTGATCCAACAGAATGTGGAAATTACTGAACAATTAGGAGCTCTGGTGGTATAGTGCCTAAGGCATTTGACTGCTAACCAGTAAGCTGGGGTTCAAACCCACCAGCCACTCTTTGGAAAAAAGATTGGGTAATCTACTTCCATAGAGATATTGCCTTGGAAACACAAGGAGGGGTCTCTCTGGGTCAGAACTGACTCGATGGCAGTGAGTTTGGAAGGGTTTTTTTTTTTTTTTTTTGCAAGTAAAATTTTGCTGAAGATAATTCAAAACTGGTTGCAGCAGGATATTGTCAGGAACTGCCAGTAATTCAAGCTAGATTCAGAAGAGGACATGGGACAAGAGATACCATTGCTGATATCAGATCAGTCTTGGCTGGAAGCAAAGAATATCAGAAAGATCTTTACCTATATTTTATTAACCACACAAAGGCATTCAACTGTGTGGATCATAACAAATTACGAATGGGAATTCCAGAACACTTAATTGTGCTCATGAGGAACCTGTATATAGACCAAGAGGCTGTTCGAACAGCACAAGGGAACACTGCATGGTTTCAAATCAGGAAGGGTGTGCATGAGGGCTGTATCCCTTCACCTTTTTTATTCAATCTGTGTGCTGAGCAAATAATCTGACGGACTATATGAAGAAGCACACGGCATCAAGATTAGGGGAAGGCTCATTAACAACCTGTGATATGCAGATGACACAGCCTTGCTTGCTGAAAGTGAAGAGGACTTGAAGCACTTACTGGTAAAGATCAAAGACTATACCTCAATATAAAGAAAACAAAAATCCTCACCACTTGAGCAATAAGCACCATCATGATAAATGGAGAAAAGATTGAAGTTGTCAAAGATTTCATTTTACTTGGATCCACAATCATCCCTCATGGAAGCAGCAGTCAAGACATCAAGTGTTCTATTACACTGGGCAAATCTGCTGCAAAAGATCTCCTTAAAGTGCTGAAGAGCAAAGATATCACTTTGAAGACTCAGGTGGGCCTAACCAAGCCATGGTATTTTCAATCATCTCATATGCTGTGCATGGGGTCGCTATGAGTCAGAAACGACTCGACGGCACTTAACAACAACAACATATGCATGTGGAAGCTGGACAACGAACAAGGAAGAACAAAGACAAATTGATGCCTTTGAATGTGGTGTTGGGGAAGAATACTGAAAACACCATGGCCTGCAAGAAGAATGAATGAATCTATCCTGGAAGAAGTGTAGCCCGAATGCTCCTTAGAGGCGAGACAGGTCAGACTTCATCTCACCTGCTTTGGTTGTGTGGTCAGAAGGGAGCAGTTCTTGGAGAAGGGTATCATCCTCAGTAGAGAGAAGGGCCAGAGAAAAAGGGGAAGACCCTCAGTGAGACGGACGGACACAGTGGCTACAGCGACGGGCCCAAGCACAGCAAGGACTGTGAGGATGGCACAGGACCCGGTGGCATTTTGTTCTGTTGCACATGGGCTCACCATGAGTTGGAAACAACTCAGTGATACCTAACAACATGTGTCAAGCAAGGAGCCCAAGTGACACAGCGATTAAGCCCTCAGCTGATAACAGAAAGGTCAGCAGTCTGAACCTACCATCTGCTGCCCAAGAGAAGTGGCAGTTGGCTTCTGTAAAGATAGCAGCCTTGGGAAACCCGTGGGGCCAGTTCTACTCCGCCCTGTAAGGTTGCTATGAGTCCACATCAAGTCAGTTGTCCCTGGTGAGCAGTGGTTAAGCCCTTGGCTGCTAACTGAAAGGTCAGTGGCTCAACCTTGTCTACTACTCCACCAGAGAAAGATGTAGATGTAGCGGTAGGCTTCATAAAGATAACAGCTTTGGAAACACCATAGTGGGAATCCCATTTGGGAAAGAGCTTTTCTGTTATGTTAATTAAGTTCTATCAGTGCTGAGTGTGTCTTAAGCCTTTGAGATATAAAAGGAGCAGACAGACACAGAGAAGCAAGCAGAGATGGGAGAATTGATGCCAGGCCAAGGAACAGAAGCTGGAAAGAGATAAGGGCCTTCCCCTGCAGCGGACGTAGGGAGAAGGCCTTTCCCGCGATCCGGCACCCAGAATACTTGGACCTCTAGCCTCCTAAAGTGTGAGAAAATAAATTTCTGTTGGTTACAGCCATCTACTTGTAGTACTTCTGTTATGGTAGCACTGGAACTAAGACAAGAAACTAGGTGGGAAGCAACTGTTTTGAAGCCACAGTCTTAATACCAGCACAGGATTTGAACATCCAAACCAGACCCACTGTCACTGAGTCAATCCCGACTCATAGTAACCCCCACAGGGTTTCCAAGGCTGTAAACCTTTACAGAAGTAGATTGCCTCATCTTCCTCCTGAGGAGCAGCTGGTGAGTTTGACCTGCTGACCTTCTGGTTAGCAGCCAAATGCCTTACCCACTATGCCAGCAGCGCTCCTTTGATTTGAACACTGATGGTATGTTTTCATGGGGTGGTTTTATGTGAGCGGCTGATGACAGACATTATAGGGTGGCTGAAGTTTCCCAAAAGCTGCCCCTCGGCACCCCTCCTGGCCCTCGGAGCGTCCTGGGGCTCCTGCAGACCCAGCAGACCATACGTGCAGATCCAAGGTCCCCCGTCTCAGGCTCTCTGTCGGCCTTCTTTGGCTTTGCGTAGAGATGATTGTGCTAGGGTAGAGAATAAGCCAGAATCCTACCCCAACTGCTGTGAGGAGGATTAGTGGGTGAAAACCAAATTTACTTTATTTTGGATTTTTTGGTACTTTTTACACATTCTACAATAATACGTATTATTTTTTACTAGAAAAAGTATTCCTGTTAAGTGTCAAATTCACTTTGGAAATCCGTCTGATACAAGGAGGTGACCTGAAGCTCAGACTCTGGGACTTTCCCTCGATTCTCCTTGAACTTGTCTGAAGGTCTGCAGAGCCAGCGGGGGGAGTAGGTGAGAACTGGGAGTTGGAATGAGAGCAGTGACACCTCTACACATACTGGTTTTGCCCAAGTGAGTTAGTGGCTCTGGGGCTCTGTTTTTCTCCTCTGTGAAGTGAGGATGACAATGCTTATCTCACAGAACTGTGACAATTAAACGAGGGAGTGCATGTCCACTGCTTAGCAAAGGGCTGGCCTACTGTCACCAGGGGCACACGAATGGTACCCAGCATTCACGATGGCAGCAGACCAGGCAGGCCTTCTGTTAACCTTGTATTAAGGACATCTGCCATGCAACACAGTTACTAGTTCATACCAGTGATACTAGCCCCCATCGCCAACCCTAAGCTTTACTCAGGGTCAAAATAACATGACAATCCTCTGTGTTGGCACACCCAACAAAGAGTTCTACAGGTCGATGTCATTCAATGATGGTTATATGCTTTCCAAAGGAGCTTTTCAAAAGTCACCATGAACTTCCAAAAGTGCAATGCTAGGGCTGACATGTCTACACTTTGCCTTATTTTCAAGGTGTTCTGAAGACCCAGATCCCATTATTAACTTACCAAGGAGGATCAGTGGAAGCAGCATAGGCCTTTCTGTACAAAGGTGGAGACCTCAAGTCACCTAGGTATGTATGTCCCATCTGGGTTTAATTGTTTAATGGCTGAAAAGCCCACTGCTCTTAACTTTACCAACTAAGTTTCTGCTGGCCTTAGTCCTCCGGAGAGAGCAAACTCCTGAACCCAGGAAGAAAAAGGTTTTGGTGGAGCACACTGGCAGAGGAGGCTGGGGGACCTCGAGACGTGCTGGGGGCTTTGCAAACAGTCTCTGGAAGCAAGCAGGCCCCTGGTTGGCAGCGAGAAATGGCATGTCTTCCCGATAGAGGGAAGTGATAGGAGAATCATTTAAAAAAAAAACAAACAAACAGCAGTTTCTCAAACTGCAGGTCATAACCCATTGGAGGGTGGTGAAATCATTTCAGTAGGATGTAACCACCACTTTTGATAAATGAATAGAATAGAAAACACCATTGTATGTCTTGTTTAGTGACAGGAAGTATTGTCTTATGAAAACTTACGTGTATGTATTCCTTCCTGTGTCTTGTGGCCAAACATTTTGAAGAACACTTCTTTATCGTATGGAGGGACATGTTTCAGATCTTGTAACCTTTAATGCATCGCTTTGCAGGTTTTTTTTTTTTTTTTTTTTTGACAACCACCCACAGAAAGGAATACATTTTGCTTTGCAAGCCAGTACACACACACTTGACTGAAACAGAAATTTCAAAAACCCGATTTCCTCCTGTTATGCCACATGCTATGTCGACTGGATGGCAGTGGGTTTTTTATGCCACATGCAATGTTCTCTATCCCAGTCTATTCCATTCTGCTTTTCAGAAAAATGCTGATCAGGCCCCATCTATTGAATTTACAACCCGCTAACAAGTGTCCTCCTGGAGTTTGAAAGCGCTACTATTAAGTAGGCCCTGAGGGTGTGCTGTATTACAAGTCACAGTGGGATCTGGTGTCAAAGGAGGATCCTGGGCCACCAGGGACAAGTGCCATGTGGCTCTGACATGCTATTTAAAGCTGCAAGATTTAATATCCGTGAGGAATTTTAGAGAAGTTTATATTCCCCCAAACGGTTAGCATACAAATAAAGCTCTCTGTCTTTTAACGAAGAAGCCAGTGGGACCCCTTGGGGTGGCCTCTGATGTTGGATAGCGGTTACTCCGGTTGCTGAGTACAGGGGAGGTGAGCCAAACCCAAACCCTGTGAGAGGGGAGAGGATCCTGCTCTCTCTGGGGAAGACGTGGTAACTTTTCCTGGGGAAGGAGCTTCCGATGAGGGAATGACTTCCCGCTGTAGCTAAATGGAGTCTTGGGACCTGGAAAATCCACTCCTACAAAGCATGGAACTGAGTATCCCCGGGGGCAGGTCCATTACCAACGTTCTCTCTCCGAACAGAAAGACGTGCTGGTCACATCTGGAGTTCTTGCTGCCTCTCCTCTCTTTTAAATAACTTCAGAATTGTGATTTGGGTGAAAGTTTAACTTTCTATTGTGATTTGGGTGACAGTTTGCAGAGCTAATGGGTTGTCCATTTAACAGTTGGTACACATTTTGTTTCCTGACTCTGACTGCAATCCCCACAATGTAACAGCTCTCTTCCCACTTCCTCCCTGTGTTTCCTGTCTGCATCTGCCCTTCCTTCCTGGCTTCTGAGCTCTCTCCCTGGGCAAACGCTGCCCGTTGGATCTCTTATGGTTGGTCGTTCTAGGGAGTGTGTACCTCCTTGGTGTCATTATTCACCTTAAAGGTCTATTTATCTTCTGGCTGAAAGTTGACCCACGGGGAGTGAGTTCAGTTCCAGGCTCAGAAGGTAACAAGGGCCATCATCTCCACCGGTCTCTATCTGACTGGTAAGCCTGGTCTTTTTTTTTTTATGATTTTGAGTTTTGTTCTACATTTTTCTCCCACTCTACCCAGGACCTCCTATTGTGTTCCCTATCAGAGAAGTCAACAGCAGCAGCCCGTCACCAGTTAGTTCTTGTCTCAGGCCCGGGAAGGCTGGGGTTCACACGGCCCATTAGTCTTCTGGGGCAATTGTTTCTTTGTGTCTTTGATTTTCTTCATTCTTCTTTTCTCTGCACAGGGAGAGACCAAGAGTTGCACCTTAGATGGCCAGCCACTCACAAGCTTTTCAGACCCCTCTCGATGCTTAGCAAAGTCGTGCCTTTTTATCACCACTGATGTAGGTCTAGAGGGAATTCAGGTTCAATTCCTTCTTCCTAGTAATTTTACTTCTCGCTGGCCACCTTTGCCTGCACTGGAAAGTCTCAGGGTCATGTTCTCGGACCTAGTCACTGGTACTCATTCCATACACATGTGATGCCGTAAAATTCTAACAAGAGCAAAGGATGTGGACAGGCACGTAGATTTTTTATTTTTTTAATATTTGGAGAAAAAAACATTCAGACTTAAGATTTTAAAGAACTTCATCGTGGGAGAACTGCACTGTACATTTTTTCATGTTCTTAAATTAGATTATCAAAATACTATTTCTGTCAATAATCATAGTAACAGCAACAACATGTCCCAAGCACTGAATAGGTGCCAGGCTCTGTGCTAAGCGCCTTCCCTGTATTTTCCCATTTAACCCTTTCAACAAATTGAGACAAAAACAACCAGCAGCCGTCAAGTGCACTCTGACTCATGGCGACCCCATTCGTGTCAGAGCAGAACCATGCTCCAGAAGGTTTTCAACGGCTGCTTTTTGGAAAGACATCACCAGGCCTTTCTTCCAAGACACATCTAGGTGGCCTTGAACCCCCAGCCTTTTGGTTAGCGGCCTAGTATTTAACTAGGCTGTGGTGCTACACAGAGATTTTAATGAATGAGATGTTGTGTGCCGCCTATTCTGACTCACAGTGATCCTACAGGACAGAGCTGAACTCCCCCTGAAAGGGTTTCCTAGGCTGATATCTTTACAAAAGCAGGTCACCAAGTCTTTTCTCCCATGGAGCAGCTGGTGGGTTCAAACCACCAACCTTTCTGTTAGCAGCTCAGTGCTTAACCATTGCACCACCAAAGCTCCTTCATGTATGAGATGTTGTTGTTGTTGTCGTGTGCCGTCGAGTCAGACCCAACTCATAGTGACCCCTCCTTGGGTTTCCGAGGTGATATCACTATGGAAGTAGATTGCCCAACCTTCCTTCCGAGGAGTGGCTGGTGGGTTTGAACTGCCAGCCTTCTGGTTAACAGTCAAGTGCCTTAGGCACTACGCTACCAGAGCTCCCTCATGTATGAGATAGGTACTGTCAGTATGCTACTTTACAGTTGCAGGGGTTAAGCACCTCACCAAAGGCCAGTCTCAGGAAGACTAGGTGCATCTGAACCTAGATAACCTGACTCCACAGCTCACATTCTCACAGCCACGCCATCTGCACCCCTCATCTACCTATAATACTCACCTTGGGTAAGATTAATCTGTCTTTCTATTTCAAATTCTTGTCAGTTTGCTTTTTGTCTGTACTCTGGACAAGACCCTGGAAGAACACAGCTATGGACCATCACATAAACACTCATAGTCAAAGGGGCCAGGGTGTGACACCAGCAGTGTCCAGCACAGTGACCCAAACAACCACCTCCCTCCTCTCACAGTCTCTGGCTCTAAGAAAGAAATTGCTAAGGATTCTGGTCTCATTTTTAAAAAAACATTATTTCACTGGTGGACTAGCCCATGGCACAGGGCATGGACCACAGAAGGTGTTTGGTCCAGTTTCATAGGAATGAAGGAATCAAAGAAAGAATACAGGATCCTTCATACAAAAACAAGAAGGGTCAACCCAACCTGTTGGGCTTGAACTATGTCCTCCCAAAGATGTATTGGGGAGCTCTGGTGGCGTAGTGCCTAAGGCATTTGACTGCTAACCGGAAGGCTGACAGTTCAAACCCATTAGCCACTCCTCGGAAGGAAGACTGGGCAATCTACTTCGTAGAGATACTGCCTCAGAAACACAAGGAGGGGTCAGGAGGAGTCAGATTCGGCTCAAGGGCAGTGAGTGATGGTAATGATATATTGTAAATCCTAATCTCTATGCCTGTGGTTATAATCCAGTTTGGGAATGGGTTCTTTGTTATGGTAAAGAGGCAAGATTTGTGCAGGGTGTAGGCACAGAAAGAAAAAGCCTTCTCTTTAGGGCCCACCCTCCGAATGTGGACTTCCAGCCTCCTAAACTGTCAGAGAATAAACTTCTGTTTGTTGAAGCCATCCACTTGTGGCGCATCTGTTAGAGCGGCACCAGAGAGCCAAGACACCAACAAAGTAGCCAAAATCCTCCCTAAGGACCCCGTGGCCCTTGCTTCCCTGCAGGTTTGACCATCTGGTGGCCACAGAGCGCACAGGAAGGGCTGCCCATGGCAACTACCACAATGCAAGGAAGGTGAACCTTAAGCACTTGGTTGACCCCACTGACGACTTCTTCCTCGCAGCACAACAGATTCCTGGAAACTCGTCAACTGGTAAGTAAGAAGCATGGAGCCCACAGACACAGTCAAGAACAAGTGCCTTTGTGTGTATCTCAAACACAGGACAAGTGCAGTATTTCTGTCGTTCATAGTACCATGGTGATAACGTGTGGTTTGTACACAACTCTACCATCTACCAAGCATTTGCACAGCCACTGTATTGCTTACGCCTCTTAATTACCTGTGAAGTAGGCAGTGCAGGCATCCGAAAAAATACAAACACCAAACCCACTGCCATCGAGTCTATTCCGACACACAGCACCCCTAAAGGACAGAGTAGAACCGCCCCATGGGCTGTAATCTTTAGAAATGCGGAATGCCACATCTTTTTCCTGTGCAGTGGCTGGTGAGTTTGAACCACTGACCTTTTGGTCAATAGCTGAGCACTTAACCTCTGCACCCCTCGAGCTCCTTAAGACAGGTATATCATCCAAAAATGAGACCTGGAGGTTCCAAGATCTTCTCAAGGTTGCCCAGCTAATTAATGCTACTGGCAGACCCCTGGCCCCTAGCCCACTGTGCTGTTCGAGAAGTCATGTTGCTGTTATGAATTTCCTCCCTAGGGGAACTCCCGTGCCAACTATGGGGGCAGGCCTCGAGGGAGGGGTAATTAAGGGCTGTCTGTGCTTCTGTTTGTTTTTTTAAAATTCCCATCGTCAATGTTTGTTATCACTGAGAACGCAGTAGTGTGTCTGTGAAAGTGTTTATCTTTGTCATCAGTCCCTCACTGTGCACCTCTGTGTCTCCCTTTCCCTTGGGGTACTGGGTAGGTCACTCCCTTTTGGTATATTGCCTTTCCCTTCACCCAAATCAATACTTGTCTCTTACCCATCTAGCAATTTTCCCTCCCTTCCCCAGTAACTAACAAAGAAAGTTTCCTTCCACATGCAAATTGTCTTTGACTTTTTACAACAGTATAAAAAGCTATCATGGGGTAATTAAGGCTTGTTTGTTCTGTTTTCTGTCCTCTCCATCCAAGCAACTTCACTGTTTCCCAGACTCATTAGTCTCCTCTGGCTTTTGAGGTTTTAAGGAGACAATGAAAGCTTTCTGGCTGATTAGAAAATTTCTGCAAATTGTCCTGGTCTTTCCCAGAAGAGACCGTGGGTGTGGCATACAGGATGGGGTTGGCTTCACACTTCCTGTCTCCTCCTGCTGCCAGCAGAGGACCTGAGGCTGGGTGGGAGGCCCTCCCAGGGTGGAGTAGGAAGGGCCCTCGAGCCCTGAGTAGCAGTCAGGGACCAAAGGAGCCATGGAGCTCTCTCCTTCACTGTGACACCCCCAGATAACGAGGAAGCAGGTGGAGCTGGCTTCTCTCGGCATCAAACTACCCCCTAGGACCGTCGCTAGGTCTCGGTGCCCAAGCCTCCCTCAGTCCCCTGCACAGCAGGACTGCCTCCTACCTGAGTGTCTGTTCCCTTTTCCGTACCTCCGAAAACCCTCTTAGTTTCCACAGCAGCTACCCTGTCGTGATGTAATGCTCAATTGATAATCAAGACACCTGGGTTTAAGTCTCCGTCTTCTTGCCTCAAGAGACACATCAAAGATGTGGTGAAAAACATGTGAAACTGTTCACTACAGATTAGTGAATAAGCACAAGTAAGCCCGTGCTTACCGAAAGCGGACACTGAAACTGCCCCATAGGATTTCCAAGGCTGTACGTCTATACAGAAACAGACTGCCTCATCTTCCCCCCCAGGAGTGGCTGGTGGGTTTGAACCACCGACTTTCAGTAAGCAGCTGAGCACTTAACCCCTGTACCGCCAGGGCTCCTTCTGTAAGGATTGTTGTTGTTGTTGTTATGTGCCGTGAGTCGGACCCGACTCATAGCGACGCCTCCTTGGGTTTCTGAGGCAGTATCACTACGGAAGTAGATTGCCCCATCTTCCTTCTGAGGAGTGACTGGTGGGTTTGAACCTCCAGCCTTCTGGTTAGCAGTCTAGATTACAACCTCTCAAATGCATGGGATTGACATGAGTCGGCATGGACTCCATGATAACTGGCTTTCTGTTTGTTTTTAAAACAGGACTGTGCACTCCAAGGGTGGCTGGCCAGCATTTCAAAGAGGCTAACCCAAAGTGCACCATCCAGAGGACCTCTCTGTAATCAGAACCAGAGGGTTCGTTAATCAACATCATTGGAACCATCAAGAAGTCCATGTTGACTCAGGGCAACCCCATGTGACGGTGTAGATGGTCCCATAGTTTCCTATACCACAAAGATTCTTCATATTTATCTTATTGTAGCACACTATATGTAACATAAAATTTCTCATTTTAACCATTTTTAAGTGTACAACCAGTGGCATTAATTACATTCACAATGTTGTGTAACCACCCCCACCATCTATTTCCAAAATTGTTTTATCACCAGAGAGACTCAGTGCAATTTTAGATATTTGATCAGCCATGAGCGAAACTGAGTGAAGTATGTTTAATATAAAATACGATTTGCAAATCAGGCAACATTCCCAACCAGAGAGTCAAAAACGTTCTAAAGCAGAAAATCTTGCAAAGATTCTTAAACTCCAGCGTATGGCTACTAATTCCACATCACCATGAAAAAGGGTCAGAGTAGGACTGAAAAGGCACTATACCCACGCAAACATGCTTTTACTAATGAAGCTGGACCATTGTTTGACTTAACAGGCTCTGGTGGCACAGTGACTAAGCACTTCGAACCCACCAGGGGCTCCCCAGGAGACAGATGTTGCGGTCACCTCATAAAGATGACAGCCTTGGAAACCCTATGGGCTCTATGAGTCAGAATTGACTTGATGGTAATAGGATTTGGTTTGGTTATGGTTTATTGTTTGACTTACAGGTGACTTTTAGGAAACCCAATTTCTCAAGGCTCAAGGTTCAAAAATCATCCCAGGGTGATAGCGTGGGTGGGTCACCTCAACTTGCAGGAATCTGGACTCCACGAGAACTAGAAACTCTGTTCCTCGGCATTAAGTCATTGCTCCTTCTTGTCCCCTCCCCTGGCCCCTCTAATCTACTCTCTGTCTCTACACGATTGTCTATTCTAGATATTCCATGTAAATAGAATCATACAATATTTCTCCTTTTGTGACTTAATCTGAAGTCTTCTCGAAGTTCACTACTGAACGGCCTCTATAGTCTGCACCAGCTCCCTCCTGTCAGCGGACTGCTATCTGATCACTCAGATCACTGGGCCTTGTGGCCCCTCCCTGAGCAGGCACCACTTGAGAGAAGACCCTAGTGTCACGTCCCCATACCTTCTGTGGGCCTGGCACCATCAGCATAGATCCATCTCTGTCTGTGACAGGAGAATTTGACCCAATAGGGGAGACCCAAACTCTGGGGGGCTCCAAACTTCTACTCTCTTTTAAGCAGAGAAATCTCTGGAAGCTGTGAGGGCAAAGCCCATTGCCTGCTTTTCTGAAAATATACCCAAAGCCATACCCTCTCCCCCAGATACAGCAGGGCATGTGGCTGATGGGGTGGGGCTGACTTGTCCCACAATGACCCCCATTTAACCCCAATCCTGCCCACTAACTCAGTTCCCCTTCCCTTCAGGTGTTGGTGATGGAGGGAATGAGCTTGGGATGGGCAAAGTCAAGGAGGCCATAAGAAAGCACATTCAAAATGGGGCTGTCATTGCCTGTGATGTGGAGGCTGACCTTGCTGTCATCACTGGTGAGTACAAGGGTGTCGGTCAGGGCTGGCTGCCCAGACAGAGGGACCCAGCCTGGACCTTGGGGAAGCTTGTCCTCAGGGAATGGAGCCAGCTACTTTGCAGGGCACCAGGCTAGGGAGGAGACCCTGATCTGATTCAGTCATTCAACAAATCTTCATTGAGTACCACGATATGCCAGTCTCTGTACTAGGTACTGGGGTGACGGCAGGGCACAGCATGGTCCCTGCTCCACAGAGCTTATGTTTTTGTGTTGAGAGACAGGTAATGAGCACCTCACAAATGACCAGATGGTTCTCAATCACTATCAAGAGCTCTGTGGGCAATAGACCAGGTGGATGAGAGACATGATGGCAGCCACTTCAGACCGATGGTCATAGAAGCCCTCTGTTTCCAACTGTGCCTCCTGCCGAGAGACAGGAAGAGCACAAGTTAGTAAATGTCTAAAAAATCCAGTCTTTCTACCTCTCCTTCACTCACCTCTGGCCCTCTCTTCCCTCTCCGCTGCCCCTGCCCATCGAGAGCCGTCTTTCCATGCCCCTGTCCTTCCAGGCCCTGCCCTTCCTCCCTTGAGCCCACCACAAGTTTCTGGCAGATGACCGACACCTAAGAAAGGCTTCCTCCCACTTCATGATTAAAATTAGCCTGGAGCTTTGGTCCCCACCCTGGTTAGCTTGGCCAGCTGCCTCTGGCCAAGAGAGGGGGTGATTTAACCATTTTTAAGTGTACCTTTTTAAGCGGGTGACAGGGAAGAAGCTGGTGTTTGGGACTGGCGCACTGGATGAGAATCTGTGTATTTGGCGCCAGGAAAGGTCAGAAGCGGCTCCTTCAGCAGACGTTCCAAGCTGCTGAGTCCTAAAGACAGGGAGTTTTGTATTGTTAAAAATGCTCAAAACTCAATGAAATTTGAATGTAAGGTTTATTCTGAGCAGTTACTCTATGTGCACATGTTGTTGTTTGTTGTTGTTATGTTGTTGTTGTTGGGCAATCCTACTTCCGTAGTGACTACCTCGGAAACCCAAGGAGGGGTCGCTATGAGTCAGGGCTGACTCGACGGCACATAACAAACAAACAGGCTCTAGAACAACAGAGGAGGACAGGGAGTCAGAAATAGGAGCGATCGGAATTTGTGGCTGATTGCCTTCACGACCGATGCCTCCTTTGCTGTGAGGTCAGAACTGCACAGTGCCTGGCTACCATGACTGAACATTTTGATCAAAGATGCTATAGAAGAATCTTGATCAAAAGGGCGGGGGGGAGAACAGAATTTCAAATTCCTATGGGATCCACACTTTCTAAAGCCATTGAGGCCAGATGAACCCCCGAAACTATTGCCCTGAGATAGTCTTTAAACCTTAAACCAAAAACATCCCCTGAGCCTATCGGGTCCTTAATCTTTTTGAACTGGATGGAGAACTCAAGCAAGCTTCAGAGAAGAGCCAATGAGATGGTTTCAAAACTGGGGAATAAGCCCTCTGGAGCTGGCTGATAGGAAAGGAAGGGAAGCCTGACTTAGGAGTGATTTTCAAGAATATGAAGAGGTGATGCCACACAGAATGTTCACCCTTCTCCTGTCCAGTCAACTCCTTCCAGGCTCCAGCCCACACACAGAATTCACCACCCCCCACCTCATGTCTGTCCTCTACAACCTTAGGACACCTCTGATGTCCATTGGTGCTGTTATCCCCTCTGAGAATGAGGCAAGAAGATCCAGTCTTCCATGTAGCTGTAAGGGAGAGTTTTTTAATGTTGACAGTCCTGGAATGGGCTCCTCAGGAGATACAACCAGAATCTTTTTTCTCTGATGGTCTTTAACAGTATGTCAAACCCAGATGGCTTACAGCAGTGATTCTCAAACCAGCTCACATCAGAATCACCCAGAGGCTTACGAAAACTCACATTGCTTGCTCCCCAGCCCCTGCCCACCCCAACCTTCCAGCTCAGAAAGTCTGGATTGTGGCTCCTAGAATTTGTGCTCTACCAGGTTCCCAGGTGATACTGGTGGGGCTGGCCTGGGGACCATTCTCGGAGAATAGAATCACCGGTTTGGAGTTCTGCTGCCTAGAGGACATACGACCTTTCCAATGCTATGATAGCATCTTTTTTCTATTCTAAGTGTTTCTAACTGGAGAGGCTATGCCTTGGCCTGTGCACTGCACATCCTAAACTCATGTGAGGTACACAGACGTGACCTGAGGAAGACAACTGGACCTCCCGGAGCACCTGCGGAGTGGGTCTGGACTCAGGCCCTCCCATCCATTACTAAGGTAACATACCCTGGCAGACCACGCCCAGGGAAGACCACTTTCCCTGGATGAGGAGTAGGCCTGGTGTTCCAAGCCACAAGCTAAAGCCCAGTACCGGGGGGCAGAACCTGCCTCCAGCCAAGGTCAGCCAGCAAACAGCTGATGGGCTGGAGTGGGTGATCTTTGACTCACTAGTAGTCTTAAGTCATTATGTTGTTATTTGC